AAATAAATTTACATTTTTGTATTATATATGTACATATATACATCGTAATGTATATATATATATACAATTTGTGTGTGTGTGTGTGTGCGCGTGTCGACAGTCATAAAAACCATCATCTTGTCCCAACTCGCTTGTTAATGTTAGTGTGTGTGCGTGTGCGTGTGTGCGTGAAAGAAAGAAAGTGTATAATTTTGTATTTTACGCATTCTGTATTTATACAAATATAACAACCAAAAGGATGAAAAATGTTAAAAAAATATATTCCTATAAACCTATATCTCACCAACACATACAGACTAACACATATACACTCATACACACAAAACACACTCACAAAAAGCACACACACACAAAACGCACACACAAAACACACTCACACGAAACACACACACACACACACACACACATACACATCATTTTTTTGGAAATAGGTTAACCTAAAAAACATTTGTTAGCACAATTCATATCTGCCAGATAAAATCAGCATAGTAGGTAGTAGTGAATAGTAACAACATCCTATCTCTATGAAGCAACAACTTGATGGGTTTGTAATGATAATTGAAATAATAATAATAATAATATCTGCAATAATACAGCAAAGTAACAAAACAACGTATCACAAATAATTTATCTATTAAACTAAACATTTGTGTTGTGTGTTATATATCTCTATGTAAATATGTATTTGTATATGTATGTATGTATGTATGTATGTATGTATGTATGTATGTTTGTATGTATGTATGTATGTATGTTTGTATGTATGTATTCATGTATGTATGTATGTATGTATGTATGTATGTATGTATGTATGTATGTATGTATGTATGTATGTATGTATGTATGTATGTATGTTTGTATGTATGTATGTATGTATGTATGTATGTATGTATGTATGTATGTATGTATGTATTTATTTATGTATGTATGTATGTATGTATGTATGTATGTATGTATGTATGTATGTATGTATGTATGTATGTATGTTTGTATGTATGTATTTATGTATGTATGTATGTATGTATGTATGTATGTATGTATGTATGTATGTATGTATGTATGTATGTATGTATGTATGTATGTATGTATGTATGTATGTATGTATTTATGTATGTATGTATGTATGTATGTATGTATGTATGTATGTATGTATGTATGTGTGTATGTGTGTGTGTGTGTGTGTGTGTATATATGTATATATGTATATATTTATGTGTGTGTTGGTTTGCAGTATCAAATAATTCAATATAAGATATCAGTATGTTCATAATAACGCAAGAGTTCGTTCGCATAAGCCAAACACTACTCATCAATCATTAACAAATTTCTCATTAACGGTAACATTAACAAAAAATTGCAACGACATCATCAACAACAATATTAACGACAAAATGATAATACATCTCTACATACATCAACTACAACAACAACAGCAGCAGCGCTATAGCACAACAACAAACGCTCCATCTATTTAAAGTGAAAAAATATTTGCGTTGTAAATCAAAGACAACCTACGAAATAAGCTCTGATAGGCACACACACGCAGAATTACACACACACACACACACACACACACACACACGTACACATACACACACACACACGTACACACACACACACACAAACCACACACACAGTTACACACGCACTTACACCCAAACAAGCAAACAAACCGACCACATACACATGCGACATAAAGCACAGTTTTTATAACATAGTGTATAATCTCTCTGAATGTATAAACCCAGCGGATATCGTTTCATCAAACAGAAAGCAACAAAACAACTGAATAATAAAAAACATCATGAAGTTGAAAACGGATTTGAAGTGGTTTGATAAGTGAAAGACTAAACTTGTGCTGACTGTAGTCATGGTCTCCTGAATAATATCCTATTATTTATCCTAGTATCTATTATTTAGGAGTCTATGCTGTTGTGATTCGACGCTGGCAAGCAAATCTATAGACAACTTTTTTTGTAAACCGCAATTTTGTTGAATTGGGAGGGAATGTGATTGGTTGGAATGTTAATGAATGCTTTGTATGTCAATTCACATTCCTAGCGACATTTATATGGTATAATTTAGTTCATTATAATTATGGTATAATTTAATTCATTACAATTATTTTGATGATTTAGAGATGATGACGATTACGATTGTGAGAGTTATGATAATAATATTAATGATATCAATGATGATGATGATAACAATGAAGATGGTGACGACGACGATGATGATTGAAACAACTGTTTATGAAAATTTTAAAAATCACCTGTTAAAACAATTTAGTATAAAAAAATATTTAATTGAAAAGTAATATTATGATACAAATTTGTAACATTTATAAAAAGTAAGATACACACACACACACGCACACACACACGCATACACACACGCATACACACATGTTGCTGATAAAACGTTCTTGTAGTTTTGTGATAGCTGCTGCAGTGATACTTGAATGAAAGGATTGATAACGCTGTTTGTTTGTTTGTTGTTTGTATGTATTTGTATGTCGTTTGTAAGTTGTTTGTATGTGGTTTGTATTATGATTGTATGTCGTTTGTAGGTTGTTTGTATGGGGTTTGTATTATGATTGTATGTTACTTGTGTGATGATTTTATGTTTCTTGTATGAAGTTTTGTATGTTTGTATTTTGTTTGTCTGTTTGCAGTTTGATAACTTTGTTTGATAATGTTGTATTTTTTAGATGTTTGCAATACGATTGATTTTAACCCCATTACAAGAAATAGTAAATAATTTATTACTTGACTATTTATTATCTTCTAATTATTTGGTTTTGTATAATTTATAATTATAAAATTTCATAGAATAACTCGACAATTAATCAATTTTTAAATGCACCGGAGGTAGCAATTTATTTGGCGGATCTCAGTCTGCGTTTAACATTTCATTTATTTTTTTCATAGCAGTTGCCTGTTGGCCCGGTTTGACGAGCTTGTTGTCTGATTTAGTTGTTTGGGTCTCGTTATGTTTGTAATAATAACTCTTTGTTAGGGTGAGAGTGTTTGTCTAAGATGTTCTCGACCATTTTAAAACGCAAATGTTTAATGTAAAATAATTTCTGATATTGATTTTCGTGTTAAGAAGAATTTGATTAAAAAATATTTCCCATTTGAGTATGAGTTTTACCGTATTGGAATAACTATTAGAAAAGATTGGCTAACAAGCAAATCTATCTATACATAAACCTTAAATTCTATCTTGTCTCATGTCTTGTATTATTGGTTAAAAATTTGCATAATTCAATTTGCCATACAAATTTGATACAATATTGGATTGTTGAAAAACTACCGATCCAAATATCTAAATGTTTAATTTGTAAAATGATAAAAAGCAGTATACGAAACTCATTTAGGTCAATAGTGATTAATTAAAATTGACGCAAAGTAGAACTGCACATGGAAGCCCGAACGATTACTTCCTAACCAGACTTAGCAACCCAAAGTCAACTGATATTTCGTAAATGTTGACAAAATAAATTTGACGAAAACAGTTCAGCACTTGATAGTAGATCTCGCCCGCCACACATAAATAAGTAGTTAATTAGATGTTGGAGTGTTTTAACTTATCATGCCATTGAAAAGTAATTAATTTTTTTTTCAAACAAAACAAACCGTATATATATATATATGTATGTATGTATACTGTATACATTCATTACGTGTGTGTGTGTGTGTTAGTGTGTGTTAGTGTGTTATTTAGAAACAGATGTATTTTTTCACGAATTAATTTACATGGGAAGAACGGTGTAAACTAGGTCTGAAGTAAACTTATACAACACAACACATTACAATACATACAATGCAATTCAATACAAAACATATATACATATATGTAATACAATACATATATGTAATAAAATACATGCTGAGAGGTATGCATATGCATATCTTGTATTTTAGGAGATGGCGTTATATTAATTGTACTGTATTATTATTTTTCAATTTTGTCTTAATCCCAGCAAAATTTTTTATAACAGGAGGTTTAACCTTGACACTAAGTTATTTATTATTTCAATGGCAATCATTCAATACTTACGTGAGCCGGGCACGATATTTCATCAACATGTCATACACCAGTGTATCATAACGTAGAGTATGATCAATCTCATTCGAGTATGTAACGTCTGTTTACATAACTCTCGGTCTTGTTTTCAATTAAACAGCGCCTGCCTCTTGCAATTGCAACGTGTATTAGTTATTAAGTATTTTTTGGCATTTTTTCGTCTCTGAATAAAAAACTGAAATTAGATAAATCGTAATTAACTAATTAGTTCATTTACTGAGGTTCTGGATTACTTGTTCAATACATTGCGTTTTAATTCAAAAAAAAAAATTAATTACTCGAGATTTATGAAAAAATAATTTTACCCCGAGGATGTTATTCTTTTGTATTTTGTTAAATAAAATAGCTAAACGTATTTAACCGCATCTTCATAATGAACACGTATAACGAAAATATTAATATTTATATTTACAATTGTGCTGATGCTTGCTATATTTGATTGCATGATGAATATAAACATGTACACGCACACACACACACACACGCACACATTAAGGATATTTAATTTTTTAACCTTTTTCAAATTTTAAGAGATAAATATATCTATTTATTAAAATTTGTTTGAATTTACTAGTAGGAAAAAATGTTCATGTTTTCATATTTCGCAGATAAGAGAATCTTGGTTTGGAATTGAAATATACTACAAACTGACCATCAAAATCATCTACTACTACTACAACACCAGCACATATAACCGTTGAAATTTCTCAACAACTTACACTGTACAACAACTAACAACAACACTACTACTACTACTACATCGACCAATTACATCTGACAGCTGTTTCAAATCAAGTGAACGTTTCAGCTGTTATAGAGCGCCTAGTCATTCACAAACATCATCTTCATCCTCATCTTTCTATCTCTTCAATTTTTTGTAAGATCGGCGGCAAAGTGAACGTTTGTGAAAGATGGACCCACAAGCAGCTCCGAGGCAGACGTTGCAGAAGGATTATATCAAATCCTTCCTTGGAATCTGCAAAATTGCCCAAATTGTTAGTTGGGTGATGGCTGTTTCCTTCGTTCATTAATGACTTTTGTTTTTTTTATATTTTTTCTTATAATTTTGTTTACATATGATTTTGTTTTGTGTTTTTTTTTAAATGGTTTGCCAATTGCGTGAGATAACCACCATTATGGCTGCTCTTGTAATCGTACATCAGGAGACCGTTATAAGTTTTTTAATCATTCTCTAAATGTTTATCATGTGAAAACATTCTGTAGCTTGCAATAGAAAACTTTTAACCAAAACTCATCGGCAGTTTGGAAAAAGTTTCAAGCCAATAAATTTTGTTTCTACGTTTATGAAAATGACTGAATGAATGAGTGAATGATTGATTGAATGAATGAATGAGTGAAGAAATTAATAGATGAAATAACATTTTTAAAGAGATGAAAAAAATCACCATGCAGATTCTTTCCATCATGACGTTTGCCTTCTCCTCCTCTTGTCCGTGGGGTTCCTTAGGGGGTGGATGGGTGGGGTTTGTCTCGATGACGGGCTTCATAAACGCCGTCATCTACTTCGTCCTGCACCTCTTCAACACTATTCCCCCTGTTTTCGTCAACTACTTTGTGGTTAGTGAGATGCCTGCCGTGTAGATGGTGATGGTGGTGCTGTGCTTTTTGTTCTATGCTGATGATAAAACTTAAACAAGCAATTTGCTTCATTGCTGCAGTTTCAGAAGAAATTATTTTTTATCTTTATCGCTTTTTCTGTTTTTTCCAGAAGTATCAACATCACACTCACACAAAGACAACACACACGCACGCACACACTCACACACACTCAACATACACACACACAACACACACACACACCTCACGTGTTAATACGCGTAAATCCCATCACATCACACATTGTATGTGATAGGCTGGGTTTTTTTTGCTTTCGAACCTAGTAACTGCGAAAGCAGAACTAAGCGCCTTAACCACTATACCATGACAACAACAAAAGTTTCTTATGGTAATTTAAATAGGACACTACAGCACAGCAACAACAACAACGACACCCGTCAAAACATCTTTGAATCATTTGTTTTATCGTTATCTACATATAACGACAAGCTCGATAGCGATAGTGTTGCTGTTAATAACAGCGACGAACTTAAATTTAATTGTTACTCAGTTTCATATGATCTGAATCAAACAAAATAATGTCTCTATAAAAATTAATAATAGCAATAATAAGGATGAAAATAATAATAGTGTATTGATAATGGTAATAATAATTGAAAATGACCTTTTACCCGACCTTCATAAACAGGAGCTGATATCATACGCCATCTTTACACTCTTCTTCTTCATCGCCGGCATTGTGGCGGCCGCCAAGGGCCACCTCGACGGACTCATCGTTGCAGCAGCTGTTAGTTATGATGATGATGACTGTGACGACGATGATGATGATGATGTGATGATGATGATGTTGATAATGATGATGTTGATGATGGTGTTGATGATGATGATGAGGTTGTTGATGATGATGTTGATGATGATGATGTTGTTGATGTTGATGATGATGATGATGTGTTGATGATGATGTTAATGATGATGAGGATGATGATGATGTTTAACGTGAAAATGAAGAAGATTCCTACCGACGATGATTACGTAAATTTTGTAAAACCCCCTCGTAATTTTTTCATTTGGTTGTCGCTGGTTGAAGCCGTTGTACACATGAGTTTTTACGCAACATTAAGTGTTTTATAACTGCATATGTATGATAAATGGATGGATGGAGGGATGGACGGTTAGATGGACGAATTAAATGAGCTTATATTTATCGCTATACAACTTTAATGTACGTGTGCGTATGTGTACGTACGTGTGTGTATGTATGTGTATGTACGTGTGTGTATGTATGTGTGTGTATGTGTACGTGTGTGTATGTGTACGTGTGTATGTGTACATGTGTGTATGTGTATGTTAAATTTGTAACTCAGTATGAGCTGCATAAAAAAATTTTTTACAAAAATATTAGCTTAATAAATTTTTAAATACTGAATGTAATATAATGTAGAATAAATAAATTTATATTAAAATTTATTTGAAATTTATATAAATTTATATAGCGTTTATTTATTAACATTTTAAGATAGTATATAAATGTGATATGATATAACAAACAAATAAATAACTCGTACCACCATTGTTCTACAGATCTTCTGCTTTGGGGCTCTAGTGGCATTTCTGATGGACACCGTGATTCAGGGTCTGGAGGTGAACAAGGCCTGGAGGGAGAGGAATGCCAGAAGGGCTGTGCCCACTTCAGAACCCGCACATATCTGATTGTGATTGGTTGTGTGATGATGATGAGGGAGTCATGCGATTGGTTGGGTGCTGATGATGATGATGAGGTGTGATGTTCATGCGATTGGTTGGGTGATAATGATGATGGGAGGGTCATGTGATTTTGTTGGGTGATGATGATGGGAGGGTTATGTGATTGTTTGGGTTATGATGATTGTTAATAGGACAGTGATGACAATCTGATGATATTGGTGACAGAATGACTACAACGTACGATGATGCAATGATGAAATTAAAGAAATTGAATAAATTATCATAATGGCCATGAGGTTTACGTCTGTCTTAATTTATGCAAAAATATTGCGAGCGATGTTAAGGCAAAAAAAAATTTGTAACTAAAATCAATATCTTAAGTAGGATACGCTTGTATTTTTATTTACGGATGGTATTGGATAAATATTTATTTTCGTATAACTATACATACATATAGATACATGTATCTATCTATTTATCTATCTATCCATCCATCCATCCATCCATCCATCCATCCATCCATCCATCCATTCATCCATCCATCCATCCATCCATCCATCCATCCATCCATCCATCCATCTATTTATTTATTTATAATTATATATTTAGATAATCATTGTTTTTTTTACAGCTGTATGCGTACGTATTTTTAAAAAATTTGCTTAAAGCAAACATTTTTCAATATTTGTTTTTAAATCTAATTTATATATTTATATTTTATTTATTACCGCTGTAAGACTATGCCGTGTATATCTGGTTTATTGTGTGTCTGTGTGCGCGCGTGTGTGTGAATGTGTATGTGTGAATGTGTATTTGTGATTGTGTGGTGCAAGTGTGTGTGTGTGTGTGTGTGTGTGTGTGTGTTATACTGATCGTAGATTATAAAGTTCTTTAATAGTAGTAATAGGCTAGCGTGTAGTTTCTTTAGTTAGTTAGTTTGTTTGTTTGTTAACCAATTTTTTTCTTCGTAATTTGTATTTTAACCGAGTCGAAGTCTAAAACATATTGCTCGTTTTTGTAGGCTGTCTGTTATCATCGTTGACATCCTCTTCAAGGCTGATGTTTATTTTCTGATTTTGAGAAAAATTGTTGTAATGATTTATGTTTAATTGTTGTTAATCTTTTATATTTATAATAAAAATATTATTAATAATAATTTTTGTTATATATATTTATATTGTTATTATTTTCTAAGCAATGTACTTTTTACTGAGTTTATCATTTTGAAAGGCTTTACTTAACTTCTATAATCAAGACGTTCTTAGTTTTTTGCAGATGATGTTAATGATGGTGATGATGATGGCGATGATGGTGATGATGATGGTGATGAAGAAGATGATGGTGATGAAGATGATGATGGTGATGAAGATGATGACAATGATAATGGATTTAAATGAGTGAATGTGTGTTCTGCTGCGAAGGAATGTTTGTTTAGCTAATATTAGGTAACTTGAGTACTTTGCTACATATGACTTATCTCTTAGCTTTATTTTATAGTTGCTAATATCTGTACGTTTCATTTTTTTCCTGTAACCAACTATTTTTAACTTCGAATTGTAATTAATAATAGGCTGTTTGCGCTTTAAATTATTTATTATTATTACTATTCGTTTATTAATTTTTTATGGTTTTTAAACGATTTTCCTGTTTTTAATATTTTTATTTATTTTTATGAAATGATTCAATTGCTTATTCATAAATATTTAAACAAGAAAAAAGATGGTGATGACTAATGTCCAAAAAAATTTATTCCTGAAAGGCAAAGCTAAATAACTTGAAATGATGATAAGGAGTTAACTTTTTCTAATTAAATGAATTTTTTGGTTAATATAGTACAATCAATCAGTCACTCAGTTTACAAACAAACAAGTAAATAAATATAAATACCCACACGAATAAATATTTATATATATATATATATTTTTTATATCCATAGGTGCTAATTAAACGCTGACATATTTGTTTTTATACGTACTTTAAAAACCTCCACAGCTAATTGTAGCTACTGTGTAATTATAAGTCAACCTATTTTACTGGAAATGTTATTTTTAGCTGTTATTAAATGGTTGAAGTTTTATCTTTTATGGTTAATTGGCTAATTATAGGGTTAGTTAGTTTATTTTTATTATGATAATTAGTTTAATTAGATAAAAAACATATTAACACACTACTAAATAATTATAATTGGTGTTGTTAAATATTATAATTGAATTAATGACTGAAAATTTATGGATATTATTGAACTGGTTAACATAAATATAACAGAAGATCTTTTTGTGTCAACATTTCATTGAATATTGTTTTTATCATTGAAAACGTAATTATAATTTGCTGCTTAAGTAGATAGCGATAAATTACGTAAACTTTAATGTTTTTTCATGCCATTCAATTAATCAATCAATTAATTAACATAATTAATTTATTTAACCCAAATATATTTATAGCAATTAATATATTTTTTATAAATGTTTTTAAATTTATTAATCCAATTTACATGGGCTGCATATTTGATTTTTCAGACTAAGCAATTGCAAGGAAGTGAGGTGTTTTGTAAAGTTTCAGTGGATTTTAATGATTTTCAACATTACATTAAGTTGAATTACATTAAAAAACAGTACATTACATTGAAAAACAGTACATTGCATCAAATAACATTACATTACGTTACGTTACAATTGATATGGTTTATTTATTAATGTCATTTTTGTGCCTTTTGTAAAACATTTTCAATATATGTAATTTCACATTTATAATAAAAATTAAGTATTTTTAAGTAATAAAGCAGTATATATTTTTAATTAAAATAAATAATATAAATAATAATAATAATGTTATTGTTGTTGTTTTATATCTATTTTTTGTTAAACTCATGTACTTGGCTTTTTATTTGAATTCTGCGCCTGACGTTTCATAATAATAACTTGCTTAAGTTTCAAACAGTTTAAATTTTTGTTTAATTTGAATGAAAAATAAACGATGAATCAAAGAAAAAAGTTGGAAAACCGATTTTCAGCCATGTTTTATTGTTTTCTAATCGATCGATCAATCAACCAACCAACCAACCAATCAATCAATCGATCGATCGATCGATCAATCAATCAAAATCATTCAGTCTATCAATCAATTGGTAGCATATATAGTAAATTCTTCTCACATTGGTATAGATTGGAGAATAAACAAAATTCTTAACTCCGGCTATACGTACATGCAGTGGCGAATCTAGGGAACCGCCTGGTTTCATTAACAGTAAACAACCATTTGATTGTAACATTTTGAAGTTTAGCCGACATATATTGTTTAACTACTTTTTAAAAGTCGGTTGTTAACACTGTTTTATTAAAATAGAAAAATTAAAAAAAAAATTGCGCGCTTAGCTGAAAAAAGGTATCGCCTATTATTTCCCCTTTTCGGCCCTTCCTGTCAAACTTTGGCCCTCTCCTCCACATACTTTGGTCCGTCAAAGCTATCCAGACCCGTCCTTGCGTACGTATTCATGATGATAATCTGGCAATAACCCTAATAGTCTGGTAGTTGACAAAGTGGTGTGGTGTTGAGCCAGTTTTTTTGCATCATTCGCCCACCGCTTCTTGTTATTTAATTTAAGCATTTTAATTACATTTCTTCCCACAGTGACGTTCGAGTAAACAAACAACCAACACAAACTCAATAAACATCTATCTATATTTTAATTAAAGAACAAAATTATATGCCTTATAAGTAATTTCTGAATTATTGTTACGCTATTTAGTACATTTTTTTTTAAATTTTATTGTAGAAAAAATGCAACTTAATAAACTTAATTTCTAGCGGGGACAAGTTACCGCCGACAACATTTTTCTCTAAAATAACAATTTCAAAATAATTTTATTTGAGAATTCTAATTCGCGAAATGGTCGACAAACCCAAAAACTTAAACACGCCAGAAAACGATTTTGAATTTAAGAGGAAATTCGACGAGTTGGTCAATAACAAAGAACCATTAATTGTTGTCAAGTTCTTTGCTCAATGGTTCGTTTTATTGATAAGTCAAATGTTTTTTTTAGTTTTAAAATTCAATTTGTAATTTGTCGTGGCGTATGTAATATATTATTCAATTGATGACTGAAATAAATGCGTTGTACATTATTTTTTCATGCAGTCTTTTGCGCCAGCGTTCATTTCATAACCAGTTGCCATTCCCAGTTCAAACTTTAAGTTTTGGAAAAAATATTAAATATATAACTAAGTATTTCCAAAAAATTATTATGATAACCAATTAATTGATTGATTAATTTTTTTAAATATAAAAACCTCTCCAAGGTGCTACCACTGCGAACTGATCAATGAACCATTCAAAGAGATCGTCAGCGCACATGCGAACGTTCAATTCATTAATGTCGACATCGACGTCTGCCAGGTAAGCCACCGCCTACCTACATCTTTCTACTGCTCCCTTTAAGCATCTTCTTGATATCAATAATGAAAGTTATTCATTTGAGATCGTTGTTTGAGGATGTGGTTCTTTTCGTCAAACTTTGCCCCACTCCACCTTCGTTTGCAATTGTCCGTTTAAAAATCATTAAATAAATTTTTTTTTGAAAATTTGTCTTTAACGATACTAATTAATTACGAGTGTTAATTTTTTTAATATTTTTTTGAAATAAATTTTGAACTATAACAAATTTTAGTTCATTCATGTAAGTATTTTCATTATTATTTTCAAAACTACTTTTTTCTTTGTAATTTTCTTAAAAATTGCATCCTCCCAAACTACAACCACCAGAATACGAGCGAGTTGCATAAAATCACCTGCGTGCCATCCTTCGTGTTCTTCGTGGAGGGCACAAAAGTTCTGGGGTACTGTGGCTCTAGCGCTGAACTTTTCGAAGAACATCTGACGAGCTTTTTGACAAAGAAAAAAAATTTGGTCCGTGCTACGAGTGGAGTGTTTTTTGTGCAAGATTCCGAAAGTTGCTGTTGTGTTGTGATGTGATTGTCGTTGTAGGGTCATTTGGTTTGGCTGGTTCTTTGAACTGTCTGTCTGGTTGTTTGAACTGTCTGACCGGTTGTTTGAACTGCCTGTCGACTGCATTTTAAACGTTACATTAAGTGTTTTTATTATCAAAATGAGTTTTAAATGATTCACTACTTTACAGTTTATTAGAACTCATTTAGTGAAAATTGTCATGCAATCTTTTTATACGCATTGTATAGTGATGAAATAACTCATGTTTTGGCATTTTGCTTTGGTATTAACGTAAAAACAAACAAAAAATAAGATAAGTGAAACCATTTTCAATGATATACAAACAAAAATTTAACGTGGCAAATACGCCGGACAACACACGTCATTCCCCACACACTGACCACCGCAGCCTATTGGGGCACCAACAACATCCCAACCATCCAATCCTCCTTCAACTTTGTCTCCAAAACGATTAACTCAAAACCAGTTAGGAGCTCGTGTGACAGATGATCTGATTGCAGTTGAAAAGTGCAGAGTTCTTAACATGGCTCCAAAATACGAGCTCTCCAACGTTATCAAGATGGGAATGAAGGGCTACATTGAGTCGCACGTGGGCTCGCAGGTCGGACAGGGTTAAATGGTTTTTGATGTTCAGTCATGTAGCGATTTTTTGCGTCCTGAGAATTTTTAACTTGATATGAATCGTCGTTAATGGACAAGTTGATGAAATTTACACATTAGAATCGTGCTTCATGAATAACGTGATGGTAACGTTTATGATCTCATACATGCATCCAACAAACTAACAGATGTTGATTACTGTCATGTTCGTCAATAAAATCAACCTTGGATCATTCTCCGTTAGTGCACCTGAAGGTGGAAATTTATTTCATTTATTCACTATTCATTCGTGTGTTCATTCATTCATTCGTTCGTTCGTTCGTTCATTCATTTATTTGTTTGTCCATTCACTAACATCTCATCAGATTGCGGTCCGAAGCTTATAACCCTATACTACAACAGCAAGTCTAACCCAAACTTCAAAGACATCCTGAACTACAGACATGATGAATGCTTCGAGTATGTATTCAAAAATACTCATACTTTCAATTTCAACATCATTGAACTGGCAAAGAAGATGTGATTTTGTTTAATGCTTCAATAATAATTTACCATCATTTTTTTTATAAATTTGTTAAAATGTTGTTCAAATTTCTTCTTCAAGAGTCATAAATTTATATGAAAAAATTACTCTAAAGTTTTTGTGCAAGGCAAGGTAAAAAATGTATTTAATTTTGAATTTTTTTCTCTAGTTTGACAGCTGAAGACTTGAGGAGGAAGGCACGAATTTATTTCACCGACTGCAGGTCGGATAATGTCCAAAAAATCATCGTTAGTTTTGTTTTTAAATTTAACTATTTGTAACAAAATGAAGAATAAGTGTCGAAAAAAACTTTGAAATGATCACAAACTCGGCAGATATACGTTCAGAACAATCAGAAGAACACAAACAAAACACGCATTGATGCATTGTCATTCTTCATGTACAAGCCAGACAAGGCTAGGAGGAGAATTTAACGAGATAATTTAATTGGATAATTTAATTAGATTTAATGAGATAATTGATTTAATGAAATAATTATTCTTCTTATGCAATGAGTTTTTACTACTGAGGTTTTTAAAGCAACTTCAAAATAATGTCGTTTATTATTTCAATCCTACTCTCAATGAAACAATTGGTTAACTTTGATTTTAATAGACTCGAATGTTGGTTTGTTTTATTAAATAAACATTTTAGAAATCGTTTGATATTTTTGTAATAACTTTAATTTAAAAAAATTATCTCAAGTCCATTATTAATTTGCCATTGTAGAAGAATTGAAAGTAACAGCATAACAAGCACAAAATGTAGCAGCCTAATCCACGAGCGTACTAATAAGAAGTTTAGTTTTATATACCAAAAAAAGGTTTGACAATATTTAAATAAAACTATGCTAATAAGTTAAACAACCGGTTTCTATTTTTGGAATAGTTTGATAAAGTTATCAAGCAATAAATCAAACAAAAAAGATATCTATAATTACTATGTCAACTGTGAAGAAATCAGTTAACGTAGGAAAAAAAACCATCGCAACATTTTTTAGTGAATGTATGAAAGTTTAAAGCCTTTAAACGAAAATTGTATCAATTTATTCGTAACCAATTTGCAAATCTTTAATTTTTACAAAATTGGTTTGATGAAAATCTTTTTTTACACGTCCTATGATCGAGTTGGCGTGCCAATCTGACACGCGTTAATTGAACGATTAGAAACATATTAATGTTATAAATCAATGGTAAACTTTCAATGTAGAACTACTTGATGAATTACCAGGAATCTGGTTGTAAATATTGAAGTGGTCCTAATGACATTTCTTATCACTCAAACGTCTTGTAATTTACGGCTTGTTTATCTCTTACTCATTTTTGATAAATAAAATTTGATACAATGTGTATATATATATATATATATATATATATATATATATATATAATTTTATTTACACACACACACACACACACACACACATATATATATATATATATATACATATATTTATCATATGCATAGTTTAAAGTTAATATATTAATAAGCAATCGACCGTTGACGGCGGTATAAGACATGATGCAAGTCGAGCTCGTGTTGTGAAATAATTTTTTCCTTCCGAGCAAGCCAACTAGCCAGCCAACCAACCGGCCAGCCAGACAACCAGCCAGTCAACCAACCGGCCAGCCAACCAACCAACCAACCAACCAACCAACCAGCCAACCAGAAAGCCGACCAACCAGCCAGCCAACCAATCAGCCAGCCAAACAGTTGATCACGCACAAACAATAAAAAAGATGAGCACCGCAGATGCGATGGAGCGAGGAGCCTGGGGCGGCAAGTTGGAGTTCCTCCTGACGTGCATCGGATCGGCTGTGGGACTTGGGAATGTTTGGAGGTTTCCGTACTTGCTGTTTGAGAGTGGAGGAGGTTGGTGTTTTGATGTTATCGAATGTTTTTGCGTTTCAAATTTTATTATTTTTTATTGCGATTTTTATTTTATAAAGTTGATATCTTTGTTGCTTCAATTGAGATTTTTTAATTGCATAGTTACGTTATAATTATTAATATTGTTTGATACTTAAATTCTTAATCAGAAAAGTTTATGATGAGATTTAAGATACTGATATATAGTTACTTTTACATTATAATATAATATCGTATTAAGGGCAAATTGATGTATTCGTTGGTAAACATTGGTCAGAACTATCGAAGGCACGCACACGCACACACTGGTTACGTGAATACGCGTTGATTAGCGCATCACCCAGGCTGCATATGGTAGACTGTATGGGTCTTCTTGCATTCGAACCAGGTCTCTGTGGCACAGAACCCACTGCACCACCTCGTAAAATAAGTTATCAGAATAAAATTTTTTTAAACCTTTCAGGAGCCTTTCTCATTCCTTTCGTGTTGATGCTCTTCCTCATCGGCATCCCGCTTTTCTACCTCGAGATTACTTGGGGACAGTTTGCAAGTTTGGGTCCTCTGGCGATTTTCAGATCAATTCCCATATTTAAAGGTTATTTATTAATATTTTTGGTTTGCTAAAATGCTTTTTAATTTATTTTTCAGACGTAACCGAACGAAATGGCGTCGCTCGTTGCCAGTTCAATTAACATAATTAATTAATTCATTCATTTATTGATTTATGCAGGTATAGGCTTCGGAATGATTTTCACAAACATCACAGTGGCTTTGTACTACAACGTCATCATAACGTGGTGTCTCTATTATTTTTTTGCTTCGTTAACTTCTCAACTCCCATGGGAATATTGCAATAACGCTTGGAACACTAAATATTGTGCCACGTCTGAACAATTCAAAAACAACATTTCAAGTAGACTAAATTTTTCGAAATTTTTTTAAGTTTATCAAATTATTTTTGGTAACTTGAGTTTTATTTTGTTCCACAACGATTCAAATCACAAAAAAATTTAAAGATAAAAAGAGACACAAACATTATAAAAACATTTACAGTTTAAAAGCATTTTGAAGCATGCTTTATAAATGAAAATTTTTTACTCGCAATTATTCAGATACAGAGGGAGATTTCATCGAGTGGAATGGAATAAATATGTCTAAATCCGAGTTGGTAACTCCAAGTGAAGAATATTTTTAGTAAGGGAACCTACTTAGCACATAAACGTTAACAACAAATTGGTTGCGATTATTGTAACAAAATATAATGTTTAACTTTAAATCAAACTATAATTTAGTAACTACTTGCATTTGTAAGATTTAACATTATTCTAACAACAAAACAAACATCACACTCCACTCCCTCAAGTCGAAAGGTCCTACAGCTCTCTCCTGGCTTGGAGAAATCCGGCACGATAGTCTGGCAGTTGGCTCTCTGCCTCTTTCTAGCCTGGACCCTGGTCTTTCTCGTGCTCATCAAAGGAATCGCATCGCTGGGCAAAGTTGTTTACGTGACATCCACATTTCCCTACCTGCTGCTCACTCTGATGCTGGTTCGTGGCGTCACCTTGCCCGGGGCCTCCATTGGAATTCAGTTCTACATGCTCCCTGATTTCTCCAGACTGGCAGATAGCAAGGTAGAGTTTGTTAATAACGAGCATTAAACAGAAGTTTTAAAATTATTATTAAAAAATCATAAAACAAAATTTTTGAGAAGGTATGGAGCAATGCAGCCATCCAGATATTCTATGCACTGAGCACGTGCACTGGAGCTCTCATCGCCATGTCCAGCTACAACAATTTCAAGAATAACACACTCAGGTCTAACTGTCGCTATTCATTCATTTTTCGTTTTCTTGCTTGTATTTTTTGTTGAAACATTCCAATGATTCGATTGGTAATATTTTACAAATCGATATGCAAAATTATTTTTTAGAGATGCGTTAATTGTGCCGATCGTCAACGTCCTGACGAGCATCTACGCCGGCTTTGTCATATTCTCAGTACTCGGCTACATGGCTGATATGCAGGGGAAAAAAGTGGAAGACGTGGCGGCTGATGGTTAGAAAGTGGTGATTTCAATGTGAGATGTTGATTATGAGAGAGAAGGATGTTGGGGTGAATAAATACAAAAAATAACTCACAATGGTATAAATATATTTCATGAAAATATTCAAAACTTATTCTTTAACCTATTTAATTCGAATAATTTGGATGACCTTCCATTGTATGCAAAGGTCCAGGGTTGGTGTTTGTAGTGTACCCCGAAGGGTTGAGTACCATGCCCGCTGCCCCCGTCTGGAGTGTCCTCTTCTTCCTCATGATGATGATGCTGGGATTCAGTTCCATGGTTAAACAATTTTGTTATCAATTTTATAACTTTGTTATTTATTTTAGATCGTTTGAACAGGCGAAATTCAATTAGCGTTGTATTAAAACGTATTTATTAAAAATGCAATTGATGTATCATCAGTGAAAATAATGACACGATTTATTAAAAAAAATCAGTTTGGAATGGTGGAATGTTTCTTTGTGGCTTTCATGGACGAGTTTCCAATGTTGTTGAGGAAATCAAAGGAGAGGACGTATCTCTTCAGAGGTGTCGGCATCCTTATCATGTACCTCATCTCTCTGCCCATGGTCACCAATGTAGGGATTGAAAATATATTATGTTAAAAATATCTGATACTTGCAAGTTTTGTTTCGTAACATAACAAAATTATAAAAGTTATTTGCTGAAAGTATTTTTTATCAATATTTAAATAATATTTGGCCTTCTGCGTTGTTAATGTAGGGTGGATTTTATCTGTTTTCGTTGGTGGATTCCTTCACTGGTGGCTTTCCACTGTTGATTATCGGTCTGTTCGAATTGCTCACCCTTATGTTCGTCTACGGTCGGTTTGAAAATTTTCAACTTTAAATTGTGTTGTTTAATTGCAATCTAAACAAGTTGTTATGTTTTAATATTAAGGCTACAAAAATTTTGAGGAGGATATGTCAATGATGATGGGTGACAAACCCGTCATGTTCAAGTTCTTCAGAGTCACTTGGTGCATCATTTCGCCTTTTGTCATTTTGGTTCGTTCATTTTTGTGAAAAATTTTCAAGTTTTTTTTTTACAAACATAACGAATGTTTTGTATGAGTGTTTAACAAAATGCAGAAAAAATATTCATCTAATATTTCGTTTACCTTCTAATATTTTCATTTTGATTTTTTTATTTGTGTTTTACATCTTTCGTTATAAAACTGTCTTATTTGAAATCAAAATTTGTATTATTCATAATAATTGATTAAACTGCTAACAAAATGTTTTATAAAATTGGTACCGACAACTTCAACGCAGCTCTCCGTGATAGCGACAGCAGTAAGTTATAAGAAGCCCACACTTTTTAACGGGACCTACGTATTCCCAGCCTTCGGAGAGGCTATCGGCTGGTTGATAGTAACATTCTGTCTTATGTTCATTCCTTTGTACATCATTTACTACATGAGGAAAGATTTGTATAAAGTTTGTATTGTTTTGTAATTAATTATTCGAAACCTCTGATTTAAACCTGTTCCTGTGAAATACGCTGTTCCAGTTAAATGAATAGATTGTTGTGTTTTATAAAAAGCAATTGAATGTAGAGCGATAAAAACACTTATCAATTCAATTTAATGGCACTCTTACAGTCCAACTTAAATAAACAAAAATGATTCAAGAGTAGAAGGAAATGACAGATAGTGTCGTTTATATGCTACAAGTTTAACCGCATTATTTAAAATATGAATAAATACTTAAACCAGTTGTACAAGCAAGGCATACAGTCGGAGCCATCGTGGGGGCCAGCGAAAGCAGAAGACAGGACAGGCAGGTACAAAGTCTCAAGATACTCAAGAACTTCCTACATCCAGAAAAACATGACGATAGTCGTGAGTCAACGAAGCATAAACAGCAACACAACATACAACGTTCACGACTTAGAGGCTGGCGACAAAGACCTTGGATCGAGGGACGAAGGAGTTAATAACGTAGCGTACAACTACGATGTTGACAATGAGACTACCTTCCAAGCGAATTCAACATATTCATATCTATCTGGAAGTAAAAACGATTCAAACAAAAGGAAACAACATAAGAATGAAGTTAATGGTCTGGATCGAGTTGATGAACAGCCGAACACCACAAACGTCGAAATGAATTTTCAAAGTAAAAATCACGTAGACAAATTTTAGCTGACGTTTAACAGCGTGTGTCTGAATTTATGGGATGAATGAACTGTCGATGCGATGTGTGAAATTACATTCGTAAACACTACTCTTATTGATCAAACAAGATTCGTGATAGACTGCAGAGTAAATTATCATTGAAAATACAAATAGTTCGCTAGAGTGATTGTTAATTTAATTTTTTGGACAAGAAATAAAATAAATTTGGAAAAAATTATAAAATTTGTGTAAACTTATTTAGATAAATTTTAATAAATCTCAAGTACTTTCAACAAGACAGAAAGTTTGAAGAGTAGCGAATAAATTATGTACACTCACCTTCGTGATATTATCGATACATTGAACAATTTTATGGTTTTAAGAAAATTTCTTGGTGGCTAAGGGTAGAAAAACAAGTCACTGGCGATCAGCACATACTACAGTCGCGTAAAAATATGTAAAATTTAAAAATTACGTATTCAGTTGGAATCAATAAAATAGTCAATAAAATAAAATGAATAGTAAGAATCAATAGAATAAAATATCCGACAAATCATTTTAGCACATGTGCAGTTGTAACATGTGATATAGTGGGAAGAGTTTATAAATGTGAGGTGACATATGATGAATAAACATTTAAATACTATTAAACGATGCTTTCCATTGCTTTATTTTTTAACATTATAATGTTACAGACGACTTTTAATATTATTTTTTGCAAAGGTAATACGTGATGCAAAAAATATTGGAAGACATGAGCCATAATATTTACATACAGGTTACATTACATAATTGACCCGTACGCTAATGAATTTGAACTCCGCAAGCGTTCAGTTACACATTAACATTGAAAAGCCTGTCTATATTATTATTATTATTAATTGTTATTATTTCACAAATGATATTTCTAACGTTTAAATTTTTATTGAAAACGTATCTGCTGACTATTTGTCTAAACGTAAATGTTTCAAATTTGTTTCTACATTTTAATAATCGACGGTCATAATTTTTTGGTTTAGAGCAGACAAAAAACAAAAAGACATTGTTGATTTAAAATTTAACTCGGACTTTACTTTACATTAATTTGTTTAGACTTCAACGTTATTTCGCCAAGACTACTTAAAATATGATGGCTCACTTGACCTAGCATGTCATTTGAATTAGAAGAATGAACATTAAAAACAAGTAAATACATTGATTTTGATTATGTTTAATGTGTTATAATAGATTTAAAATGTTGAAATGTTTTTAAATATTCACTATGTTCATTAGTGAAAAATTTTTGACAAAATTTAAATAAATAAACTACAAAACTGCTAATAAATAAAGCTTTGTTAAATTATAGCGAATGTAATCTTTTTCAAACCGTAATTTTCCACCACCAAAAGAATTTCTAATTATCCTTAATGACAACCAAAACTTCATCAAAGGAAGTGGAGGCTGAGAGGGGAGCCTGGGGCGGCAAGTTGGAGTTCATCCTGACGTGCATCGGATCGGCTGTGGGACTTGGGAATGTTTGGAGGTTTCCGTACTTGCTGTTCAGAAGTGGTGGAGGTTAGAAATAAATTTTTGCAGTAAATCTTTTTTTTTCTATTTGTAAAAACGCTAGACAGTCTAGTTATGCGTTACAGTAACTTGATTCAAAAGCCCAAAGATCGAAACCCCACTATGCATTTATCTGAGTGTGTGAGGTTTTACTCTAGCATATGCTAGTTCACTAGCAAAGAATTCCCATTAACGTTAATTTAATGTTGTCTGTCTACTGAATGTCGGAAGGATGGCTTTATTTATAAACTATGAGCGGGTAAGCGAGTGATAAATATGTTTTTAGAAACCAATTTTCTTGTTCAAGTTTGAAGATTTTTAAGTTATAATATTTATTAACATATCTCATATTTTAACGTCAAATTGTACAAATTTGTAATATTATTGTTGAAATTTTTAACTTTCAATCATTAACTTTCAAAGTCGTTCAAATAAAACGAATTTTGCTAAACAAAAAGGAGCTTTCCTGATTCCGTTCGTGATCATGTTGTTCCTCATTGGCATTCCATTGTTCTTTCTTGATATATCTCTGGGTCAATTTGCTAGCTTGGGCCCGTTGGCAATCTTTCGAATGAGTCCGATTTGGAAAGGTAAGAGCAAAAGCTGATTTTAATTAATAGAAGAAGTTTCAAAGTTTTATGCCGCATTGTAAATTAACTTTACCCAAAATTCATTCCAGGTGTAGGGTTCTCAATGATCTTCACCAACTTGATATTGATAATGTACTACAACGTGATCATAAGTTGGTGCATGTACTTTTTGTTCGCCTCCTTCACGAACCATCTACCTTGGCAAAGCTGCGGCAACATGTGGAACACTCCACTCTGCACCACATCTGAAGAGTTTAAAAATTTAACCAGCTGTGGGTTAATTTTATAATGTATTTAAAGTAAAATTAGAATTTATATATTAAAGTATATTAATCTTGCATCGCAAACTGAATTTTCTATTTATTTAATATTCAGCTGGAAATGATTCGTTCATCATGAAAGAAAATTTAAGCCTATCCAGATCGGAGCTGAAAACACCGAGCGAGGAATATTTCTAGTAAGTCTTGTTACTTCACTTAAAATGTGGAAAAAACAAATGGAATATTTTATTATATTAATATAATGTTATAATATTTGTTGATGTTTGGCAGTCGTAAAGTGCTTCAGATGTCTGATGGTCTTGATCACCCGGGCACGATCATCTGGCAACTTGCTCTCTGCCTCTTTCTTGCCTGGACGATTGTCTTCCTCGTCATCAGCAAAGGAATTGCTTCGCTCGGAAAGGTTGTTTACTTTTCGTCTACCTTCCCTTACGTGCTGCTGACCATCATGTTGGTCCGAGGTGTCACATTGGAAGGCGCCTTGAAAGGAATCAAATTTTACATGCTCCCAGATTTTTCTCGGCTTTCAGATTTAAAAGTTGGTACTTTCGATTCGATAGAGAAATTGTGTCAAGTAAAACATTTTTTAAGCTAATATGGCCACATTTTAAAGGTATGGAGCGATGCGGCCACTCAAATGTTCTATGCTCTCGGCTCAGGCTCAGGTGCTCTGATCGCCATGTCCAGTTACAACAAATTCAACAACAATACATTGAGGTCAGTAAATAATGTCCGAATAATAATTATAATATTTTTTGAGCCAAAATCATGTTACTTTTAAATTCTCTTTGAAACGTTATCAGATTTGATCAGAGTAGTTTTATTTTCCATAATTTCACTCTATTATAAGATCTTTTTTTTATGAAATGTTTCATGAAACGTTTCCATGAAAGCCCGCAATAATTTTGATTTAGAGATGCGTTAATCGTGCCAATAAGCAACGTTCTGACGAGCATCTACGCAGGATTCGTCATATTCTCAGTGCTGGGCTACATGGCTGAAATGAAGGGCGTGGAGGTGAAGGATGTTGCTGCCGACGGTAAGATAGTGAGGATGATAGTGAGAGATGATTGGTGCCTCAGGTAAAAAAGCAGTAACGGTGTGGAAAAATCGTTATTTTAATTTTTTTTCGCTTAGGCAATCGTTCACCCAAACAGTACCAAAGTTTTAGAAATCTGGTAAATGTACATGTGGTATTTTTCAACGAATTCTTTAAAATATGTTAATAATTACTTAACTGGTTGAAAAATTAAAAACTGTGGTTTTTAGGACCAGGGTTGGCATTCGTGGTGTACCCTGAGGGATTGAGCACTCTACCAGCCGCTCCCGTTTGGAGCATTCTCTTCTACATCATGATGCTTGTACTTGGATTCAGCACAATGGTACTTATCAATTCTATCAACCATTTATTGGCTAAAATGTTTCAAATCAATTTGTTTTGATTTTTGTTCTTTTTTTTAGAATATATTCAACTTTAAATTCTACGTTATTATAAAAATGAAAAGCAGAGCTCAATACTTTCATAAAACTCATACGTTAATATAATAACTAAACTTTGAACAAAAATCCTCGATCTGGTTTAAGTTTTGAATTCAATAAAGGACAAAAAATAAAACATCCCCATACAAATACATATGCACTTGTACACAGTTTGGCATGACGGAATGTTTCTTCATCGCCTTCATGGACGAGTTTCCACTGTTGCTGAGGAAGTCTGCGGAGAGAACCTACTTGTTCAGAGGTCTTGGCATCCTCCTATTCTATCTTATATCACTTCCAATGGTTACTAATGTGAGTTCTCAAAATTTTTCAGTTTCTATTTTTTCACTTTTAATCATATTTTATACATTTGGCAATCCTAACCTTAAGCTTAGAATTCCAAACAAGCATACATAGTTGAAAATTTTGAGGTTTCATTGAAATTTTGAGATGAAATTAGTACGCTTTTCCATTTTCAGTGTGGCTTTTATTTGTTTTCCATCGTAGACTCGTTCATTGGAAGCTTCACGTTCATCTTCATCTGTGAATTTGAACTGTTTGTCGTCATGTTTTTTTATGGTGAGTTGGCTTTTTATTTGATTATTCAAAAATGTTCAGCTGGAATATAAGTCAAATGAACGTATTTGCGAATGAAAATTTTGTAAAAAATATTTTATATGTAAGGTGGCTTTTAAATTTGTCAAAGGTTACAAAAATTTTGAATCCGATCTATCAATGATGCTGGGCGACAAAAGATGGTTGTTCATGTTCTTCCGAGTTACCTGGTGTTTTGTCACACCAGCAATCATTCTGGTTAGCTTCTAAAACATTGAAATTCTTCATTCAGAATGATGAATTTAATAATTTTAAATAAATTTAATTGAAGCATCAACGCAATTTTGTACTCAATTCAATTAAATACATCAAGATATCCATCGTAGCAACTGCAATAAGTTATAAGCGGCCCACACTCTTCAACGAAACATACACCTTTCCTGTCTGGGGGGAGGCTATAGGCTGGCTGGTCGTCGCTTTCTGTCTCTTCTTCATTCCAGCTTACTTCTTTCTTTATTGCAGGAAAGATTTCAAGAAGGTTCGAAATTATTTTGGTGTATACTTTGACAAAATTTTTATTTTGACCAATTAGTATTTCATATTTTACATAATTGCTTTTAAAAACAAAATCTAAATTTATCGATTGATACTTCCAAACATCAACAGGTGTCCTACGATCACAGCTTGACAATTTTTGTAAACTTGAATAAATAAAAATTAATTAAAACGTTTTCAATTAAAATTCTAAATAAATAAAACAGTCGTTAAGGAAAGGGATAACATCAGAGTTATCTTGGGGACCGGCTCTCTACATCAACCGAACAGGCAGGTATGAGAAGACGAGACGCATGACGATCAACAGTATCGTGACTGACATCTGTACAACTGTCACCATCGATAACATCACTGATCAGAGCAGTGTTAGTAACAAGAGCTTCAAAGAAGACACTGTTGAACATATGTGAACGGGTCCCCTTTGCCAGTTCAAGGAATATTTTATTCATAAAACAATGTCTATTTATTTCAAACTTTATCTATGAAACTTTTGTTTGCAACAAAATTTTTATATCGTGTTTATTACATCCGTAAAATTTCAAAGTAAACCTAATTTTCGGTTTTTTAAGAAATTAAAATTGATTTGCCAACGCAATCAAATGCTGTGGAAATGTAGAAATCAAAAGTTGTTTCGAAAGCAGTGATTTTATATCAAAAGATTAAAGAAAAAAATTTAATTTGAAGACACAAACAAATCGTTTTTACGTTTTCCCAGCAATGAATGAACAACAAAAATAGTCAAACAAATTTTGTCAGGTTTTCTTATTTTGACAAAATTTGTTAAAAAACTGCTTGAGTTTGGATGTTCTAATTGCTGCTGAATATTCATAAGAGCCGATATATAATTCACTGTAATTCAACTCTTTCGTAATTTGAATATCATATCAGTTTAATACTCTCGAAATTCAAACGATAATGTATAGAAATTATTTAATTATAAAAGAGCGAATTTTTATTCTCAGTGGCGATGGTATCTAATGTTTATTTTCATCGAGTGCTGGCTAGCAAGTAGTTTCGAAATATATTTTTATAACAATTTATTTGTAATAACACACTTGGTAGAAGTATCAACACTTGAAAACATTAAAGAATATATTAAAATTGTGTTCGAAGTTTATGTGATGCAATCAATTAAAAAGATTTTCTAAAACTCAAAATATAAGATTTATTGCGTTCTTATTTAATGTTAAAGCATATTTTTCACGGTTGTTTAGCTGTTTTAATATTTGGTGTAAATAAATTTTCATAATTCAACTTATTTAACTAAATTTAACTTAATTGAACTGCTCATCGATCAACCAAAAAACATTAAATTCAACAACGGCAAATTTCGGACAAAAGTTCAAATCCTTAAAAATCGAACACCAGCCGACCGACGATGGCCACACCGGAGCGAGGAGCCTGGGGCGGAAAGTTGGAGTTCATCCTGACGTGCATCGGATCGGCTGTGGGACTTGGGAATGTTTGGAGGTTTCCGTACTTGCTGTTCAGAAATGGAGGAGGTAACGTTTTCAAAAATAAATTCATTAAGTTTTTTATGTGCATTTTCTCTAAGTGCCAATAATATTTATTTGAACCAGCAGCCAAAACTATCTATGTTATATAATAAAGTAGGGTGGCTTTAAAAAACCTCATTTCAAGCTTTGTTCAATAAAGTGATCGTTAACTGCACAAAAATTTTGCAGTCAAACCAAAAGAAATATTTTTGCATAAATTATATTATAACATGGCAATAATATTTTGCTGAATCTCCCCAGGAGCATTCCTCATTCCATTTCTGATCATGCTTTTCCTCATTGGCATTCCGCTTTTTTTTCTTGAAATAACTTGGGGACAGTTTGCCAGCCTGGGACCGCTAGCGATATTCAAATTTTGTCCAATATGGAAAGGTCGGTCAAGTTTTATATTTTAAATAATAAATTTCAAAAATACTTTTTGTCAAATTTTGCAATCAATTTTACAAAATTTTCAATTTATATAAAAGATTTGTAGCAAAATTTGTTCAATACTGATGCATTGTTTCGATCAATACTTGTACGAGCCAGGTCTGGCTTATTCAATGTTGAGTGTGAACCTCATGGTCTTCCTCTACTACAACATCATCATCAGCTGGTGCATCTACTACTTCTTCGCTTCACTGACCACCCAGCTGCCATGGCAATCCTGTGGAAATGCATGGAACACACATTTCTGCACCACCGCTGATCAGTTTAAAAATATTTCAGGTGTAGTTTTTTTGAAATAGTTGCGTTTGTTATATTATATAAATACTTACGTTAACAGAATCTAGAAGCATGTTTGTGTGGAGAGATGAGGTGAACATTTCCAGGTACGATTTGAAGACGCCAAGCGAAGAATATTTCTAGTAATTATTTTTACTTCATTAATTAACTAGTTTAACTATAATAAGATAAAAATCTAATAAAATTCGTTTATCAAAAAAGAATTATTAAATATATCAATTGTTTTTTGCGCAATCTTACAAAAATTTAGACATTTATGTACTCAAATCAGTCGTAAGGTACTTCAAATGTCAGATGGCATAGACCACTCAGGGAAGATAGTGTGGCAGCTAGCCTGCTGTCTTTTCCTCGCCTGGGTCATCATCTTCTTGGTCCTCATCAGGGGCATCTCATCGCTAGGAAAGGTCGTCTACTTTACTTCAACATTCCCCTACGTCTTGCTAACCGTCATGTTGGTTCGAGGAGTCACCTTGCACGGGGCTCTGAAGGGCATCAAGTTTTACGTTCTTCCAGATTTTACAAGATTAACAGATCCTATTGTACGTTTTGAGGAAACAGATTTTTTGTGTATTTTAATTTTTAAAATTTATAAATACTATGAAGGTGTGGGGTGATGCGGCCACTCAAATTTATTTCGCGTTCAGTGTTTGCATTGGAGTGTTGATCGCCATGTCCAGCTACAACAATTTCAAAAACAACACCTTGAGGTAACTAAATCCGAATTAATTTTTTTGACGAATCACGCATTTTCACATTTATAATTGCCGCCGTGATGAAGATTGATTCGACTCGTTCTATTGCACTTAGGGATGCTTTCATCGTACCGATTGTCAATGTCCTGACGAGTTTCTACGCGGGGTTCGTCATATTCTCTGTCTTGGGATTCATGGCTGATATGAAGGGCGTTGAGGTCAAGGATGTTGCTGCTGACGGTGAGTTAGTGAAGAATGATCAATGTTGAGGGTGAAACTCTCAATAATGACCAAGTTTAATTTTTATAAGTGTGAGAAATTGAATTAGTTTAGACTGTGTATGCTGCTTTAAAAATAAGAAAAGTATTGAATAACGATTGAGTATTGAAAAATGTCTGATGTTGAAAGGTCCAGGGCTGGTGTTTGTAGTGTACCCTGAAGGACTGAGCACCATGCCCGCTGCCCCCGTCTGGAGTGTCCTCTTCTTCATAATGATGATGATGCTGGGATTTAGTTCCATGGTTTTCTTAAATATTTTTTCTCACTAATTACCGCTTTTGAACCAACATGATATCATTGATATCATTATCAATTAATCAATTGATGTCACTTTTTAATCTATACCATTTTGAATTTGAAATAATATTAATTAGCTCTCATGTAGTTATGTGTTACAATATCATATTCAGTGAAACAAGATTTTATATCCTTCAGTTTCGATCGTCAAATAGTTCCAATTTTGAATATTTTATAAATTAAAAATAGCATCATTAAATAATATTCAATAAAATTTGTTTCAGTTTGGGATGGTGGAATGCTTCTTTGTATCGTTTCTTGACGAGTTTCCTACCCTTTTGAGGAAATCTTCGGAACGAACCTACCTCTTCAGAGGAATCGGATGCACCTTCTTCTTTGTCATCTCATTGCCCATGGTCACAAATGTGCGTATCTGTAGAATAGAGAATCACGAATACTATCAATTAATGTAAATTATGATATAGTACATTGTTAATTACGCACGTAAAGAATGTTTGATGATTTTTATTCAGGGTGGGTTCTACCTCTTTTCAATCATCGACTCATTCGCTGGAAGCTATCCACTGTTGATCGTCGGTCTCGTCGAGATGATTGTTCTCATGTTTGTTTACGGTAATTTCATACATTCAACTAATTCATTATTATATGTTGGAAATTTGTTAAATTAAGTTTTTATTTTTTGTGCCCAGGATTTAAAAACTTCCGAGACGACATGGAGATGATGCTTGGCAAGAAGCCCGTGCTGTTTATGCTTTTCAGAATTTCATGGAGCTTCATCGGCCCGATCGTTATTGTGGTGAGAGAAAAATTGTTAAAAATTTACGTGAAAAATTTACGAAAAAAAATTTTGATTTTTTTTATCGCGCTACTTTTAAATCAATAACAAATTAAAATGAAAATGTTGCCGGCGATATTGCAGCTATCGATCGTAGCGATGGGATTGAGTTACAACAAGCCAACCCTATTCAACAAAAAATATTCCTTTCCACCAGTGGGCGAAATTCTCGGCTGGCTCATTGTAACATTCTGCATCTCGTTCATACCGCTGTACTTTCTTTTCTACATGAGCTCCGACCTCTACCGGGTTTGTGCATGCATTAGAATTGAACCATTTATATTTATTTGTTTGCGACTTGCTTCGATATAAATGTAGAATTCGTTCTTAAACACAAATTCTGAATTAAAACGTTTATTCAATTTTCGAAAAAGTAAAACTTATACAATTAACAATATAGCTGTACAAGGATGGAATCCAGCCGGAACCTAGCTGGGGGCCAGCTAGAGTGGAGGACAGGACGGGGAGATTCGAGAAGACGAGACACGCCACCGTCAAGAGCGTGAACGTTGAAATCACCACGAACGTCACTTGTGACGACGCCGCTGAAGATGACAAGGTCAAAACCGACAAAACTGCAGACGCTGCGGAGAAAGTTGATACAACACCTTATTCGGAGGGCTGTTATAAAAATCAATATTTCACCTCTAACTTTGTCAACTGTAGCTACGTGGAAGATTCTTTATAGGACATGGAGTGACTTTTAGAAAATCAAACACAACACTTTTTAGCAACTTAATTACTAATCTTTTTATTTAGAATTATTTTATTTAGAATTAATTTATTGGATTCAAGAACAGTGTAAATATAATAAATTGAACAATGCCACCTACAGTAGGCTAATCTGATTGTCGAAAATTTACGAACTTTGCTTATAAATAATTGATTTAGTTTTTACATTTATTTATTTTTTTAAAATTATAATATTTCTCGCAATTTTTCGCAAACGAATAACGTGTTACGTGTAGATGTGGTCACTTATGGCTATTAAAAAATTCGTTAGGGGTGGAAAATTTAATGGAAACTCACAGATGCCAAATCCAATTTGAAAATTTTTTATTAGAAGTTTTTGAACTAAAAAGCAAACATGTCTATTGTTGATCTAAAATAAAATTTTATTTTTGCGAAATTCCTAAAAGTTTTCGAAGTTTGAGAAAGGATATAGCAGAAGTTTACGTTAAATAACAAGTTTGAATGAATGTATTGAATGTGTCACCTCAATGAGTTTCTATATTATTATGTCTATAAAAAGTGAGACCTGTTTAATGGTCTCGTTGAAAGCACCAATTGTAATTCATTTACATATAAAAACTCATTTTCTACCAAAAAATTTTTTAATTCTTATAAAAAAATTTAAATTAAATCGACTTTCCATAAAGCATATGCTTGTTATATACTATATAGTATTGACCTTATATATGTTGCATTGTCCATGGTCATTAAATAGCACGCCGGCTAGTTTCTTTGTTTCAGTTGGTCCAACAATCGCATCGCGTGCTTTTTGTTAGAATATTTTGTTTTAATATTTAACTATTTATTCTGTTTTATTCATTGCAATGAATAAGAATGATGAAATAAAACGTCTGATCGATGTAAAGATGTACCTTTACAAGCGGTCCGCAGAAAAAATTAGTCCAAATGATTTGATGACTTCGTTTAAAAAAGTTCATCAGGTTGGTCACTTCTTTTTTAATTTATATAATTTATTGATGATTTTATTTTTACAAATTTAATTAGCTCCCATTGTAGACTTGAACGGCGTATAATAATTTGTTATAGTGTGACTTTAAAATTACAATCTCATTAGAAAGATTGTTTTTGCTTTATTTTAAATAAAATACGTATATGTACGATAATGTCCTTATTATTAGTGAAGCAATTTTCTTATTGAATTTAAATGAACTGGTCAGTATTGCCCAAAATCCTGTTTATAATTATTTGATAACTTTATCGTATCCTGATTCAATATTCCAGGGACCATTGGTCATGGGAAACTACCGAAGTGAAATAAAAAGACATAAAGATAAGGAAACCATCATTAGCCAGTAAGAATTTTTTTATTGACTTATTAACTACGCAGCCCTACTGGTAATTCAAAACAAGCCATCTTGAATTATACGCATTTAGTTGCATGTATTCCTGTTGGTCATTCTTCATTGTGCGCTTCTTTTCATAACAGGCCGTAGAAACGAAAGTTTGCGTGTGTGTGTGTGTGTTGGATTGGATGCATATTTTACGAAAATTTGTGTAATATTTTTTTAAATAAGCTTCGCTCCTCAAGCTGAACTATCGTGTGTAGGAGGGGAAATTTCGATTGAATTGCTTCAACCGTCGGTTACCTCCCGAGACGACAATGAATTTACTTCGTTTTTTATACAAATTCATTCTGGAGTGAAATTTTAACGGAAAAACTTTATTTAACTAAACCATTTTATTTTATTTATAAAAATTACTTCTTGGTTATTAAAATAACGTAATTGGCGTGAATTTTAAAAAATCGCACCAAAAATGTATCTTGAGTATGGTGTGCCATTATTTTTTTTAGTAAAGTTTATGATTCACCACTTAGAGTCTAATCTGAAAATTTTAAAATTAAATATTTTTTAAAAAAACTGAAGTTTATTTATTTTAAGAAGCGGTCCATTATCCTGAAAAACATATAACTAACCAAATTATATAATAACTTTAGTCAATTTCAGCTGACTGAATCGAATAACTATTTTTTTTTATTTCAGTTGCTAAATAACTAAATGTTTTGTAAGCCACAAATTTAATATTTTTTTTTCAAAAACTCGTCTGTCAGCACAAACACAAAATAAAAAGATGTAACAAAAATTTGGGTTGAACCAGCCCTAAAGTAGGGCACGTTGTTAAATTGGCGGTAAATTCACAAATGTCTGACCTGTCCATCTCGGAACGCTCTGCAGATGGCACGCATGCAAAAATTGTCTTGATACATAAAATTTTTTATCCGATTTATTGTTTCATTTAAAATTTTCACTAGACATTCATTATTAAATTGTTGCAATGTTTTGTTCAAAAATTTTCAGATTGACAAATGAAGAGAAGGATAGCCAAGATGAGAACATATCTGAACATAAAATTTCATTTGAAATACCATCTGTCGAAAAAACGGCAAGCAACGCTATTCCAGTACGATATGTTAAGGTTTCCTGGAAAAACACAAACATCGAAATAAACGTGAAAGGTGGTGAACAACCCTTCCTTTTCATTTACAGAACACAACCGATGTTCTATTGCCACCCGGAATATAACGTTGGTGTCTTCTGCGACATAACGTACCTCGACCCAACTCCCAAGCCCTCCATCCTAAAACGTATTGGCGACTGTTTGCACAAACTCGCTAACATTAATCTTTTTCGTTCCGATGAAAAGAAGAAAATTTTTTGAACAATGCCAATAAACTTGTTTGTGATGAATATTTTTATTCATTAATTGGAGCATTGGTGTTGATCGTTTAAACTTCATTTTAAACTAAAAAATCCGATTGTTTCTGTTTATAAAATGCTACTTTTTTGGCATAACTCTTAATAATATGCAGATGTTTCAAGACAAAATCATTGTCGTTCACGGCCGCCTCTACAATAGAGCCCCAAGCTGAGTAGATTTTTCTAAACCGCATCCGCAGAGTTCGCGTTCGCACTGCTTATTATCAGCACCGCGCCCGCGGAAAGACAACCTAAATCGGCCGTCTTAATTTCGTGTTTAAAATTAGAAGGTAGCAACACTAGAAGGCAATCTATTTACAATATAATTAGATATTCTGCCGAAAAGACATCTTTCATTTGAAAAAATTTCTAATTTAATAATTAAAATTACATCGGCTAAAACAACAAGCAGAAAATGAACGACGGTGAGGAAATCGAAGACGCTATTTAATTATGAAGATGTTATGTTTTATATATAGATATATATATATACTCATTTTATGTATGTATGCATGTATCAATATGAACGAATGAGTGAACCAAATGAACGAATATTGAATTATGAAAAAACGAAACAAAAAAATTAATCAAAAAAAATATTTGCGAAGTTTGCTGGAGCTCTTAACAAACATTCAATCGAACATACCTACCAAAAATTTCGAGATTTTAATAAAGCAAGAAAGACAAATGGCTGCTTTGCTTTTATTTGATATCATTTAAAAATAAAAAATGTGAATTTTTTAAAAAGTTCGGATTTTAAACAAACAATTATAACGAAATATCGACCGATAAAAAATTATTATTATATAGTGATGATTCGATCCTATGTTAAAATATCAATTCCCTTTCGGTTTCGATTATTTTCAGGTATAAAATTTCGATTTTTATTCGAACGAAGTTCAACTCAGTGATTTTTTTGTTTTTAAATTTTTTTGAAACAATTTAAAAATGTAAATGTTAAAAACAAATTATTAAATGTCTTAAAACATATGTCAGAACTCAGAGTACACACCCAGTTGACAGAAACATGCTTCTTCGGACCAGTGATTATTTCCAAGGTTTGGTGAACAGTGGAATGAAAGATGGCCACGTTCGAATGTTTAACGAATGAATCCTTAATATTTAATCAAGTTGTCAATCAACGTGATGGGAAGCAGAGGTCTTAGCTTAAAGTAATTGAATAAAGTAGAAGCAGAGTTGGATGGTGCCTTCTATCTACATATCAATGATAAATACAATAAATTGTTGTTGAAACATTTGAACGAGTTAACTTGTATTTGTATTTTGGACATTGCAAACAAGTACATTCTAATTGTCCAGGTGGTCAAAAAAGTTATTGAACATTAGGGATGCACCGAAGTTTGGCCCCGGTCAAAATCAGGCTTTTTTTTTAAATCCGGCCCCCGGATTTAGGGTCGGATTTAAGCGTCTATCAACATTTTAAATGTTATTAATGGAAAAATTTTTTTTATTGAATTCAATAAGTTAATAGCTAAGCATACATGACACATAACGACAACATCACTAATTGTGAGGTGAGCTGGACAATTTTCTTTATGCTATAACATGGGTTATGCATAAATTATAAGGTGATCTTTGTGTAAAACAACTTGTGCAGTGCACGTGTTTATACTATATAATTGTATATGGCGGATCATATAGCTACATAATATATATATATATATATATATATATATATATATATATATATATATATATAGCGCATAATTTAAGAACATGGTAAGGTTGGACTAGGCATACATGACACATAATTACAACATCACTAATTGGCAGGTGAGCTGGACAATTTCCTTTGTGCTATAACATGGGTTATGCATAAATTATAAGCTGTGGGTTATGCATAAATTATAAGCTGATCTTTGTGTAAAAGAACTTGTGCACGTGCGTACATGACACATAATAACAACATCACTAATTGTGAGGTGAGCTGGACAATTTTCTTTATGCTATAACATGGGTTATGCATAAATTATAAGCTGATCTTTGTGTACAGAATTTGGCGTATCGCACAGCTTATTCATATATTTGAATTAATTAACTATTGGCTTGGTGTTATTTTTTGACGTTTAACGTGTAAATAACTCAAAGCTGCATTGCGGTAAAAATGTGTGTGTGTGTTTGTGTTCTTGTTTGTGTGAGATGTTTTTTTATGTTTGTCGATCTGACAAATATTTATTGTACTTAACTGAATTTCTATGAACACTTACACAGTATTTTATCATAAGCGTAAATCATTTCAAAAATGTGCCAAATAGCTCAGCCTAATAATCATCATTTGAAACTTAAATTAAGCCTGAGTTACGATTGTTGTTCAATTTAATATTGATGTTTTATCTAACTTAAGCATTACATTGCAACTCAACAGAAGGGACAAAAAAACCAAGTTCAGTTGGGTTAATAGGTTTTTCATCGTTTGGAATGCCGGAATCATAAAAAATTCCATATCTAAAAAAATACAAGCTCATACTTTAAAAAACGAAATAATTTAATAAGGAATGAAATAAAGGATTGAAATTCCTCTTGCCGATGATGATTACCAATTTTTTAAATTTAAAACGTTACAAAAGTAAGAAGCTGTTTGTTGATATGCTGGTGCCAGGTTCTCATGTCGAATGTTTAAAATATTTTCAGCGGTCCTTTTCAGTTGGCTTTTTATTGCATAGTTCTCGTTTTTTATTTCGAATCATTTCAACTATCATCTCTCTCTGCTTTTAATCTTACGTAATTCAAAGATATCTCTTCTTAAATTTTTATAGAATTCCATAGGTGATGCTCATAGAAATCAAAATATGCATGTACGTTGCTACTGCTATCTCGTGTATCTATTCACTCGTTCTACTACGTTTGATATGATGAAAAGTAAACAACGAACACATAGTCAAATTGAAACAGAAAAAAAATTTTGCTTTGAAATAGATATCTGACCAGCTCAAAAAGAGGAATATCCATGGAATTACATATTAAAATTAATTAAAGAGGTTTATTTATTTATGAATTACATATTAAAATTAATTGTACTGTACATATTAATGATTCTACAAAAATATAACGAACTGCCTGCTCGAAAGAAAAGTTTGAAAATAGAATCCACCGTTATTTACTTAATTTCAGTTTCAGAATATTATTTACGCCATCATTGATTGAATTTAAATAACATCAAATAAACCCCGAAACAGTGTAACATTAACATCAACAAGATTACCAATAATGTATCATGTTTCATATGTATCATATGTGAATGTTACAAATGATGCCAAAGATAATTACTGCAATGGGTGGGCATTTCGAAGGATGGATCGTTGGCACAGCTTCTTCTTGCCATCATCAGTGTTGAATGTGGACAGAGTGAACTGGTCAACTTGCGTGTTGTTGACCGTGTACTTCAGAGAGTTGAGAGATTGATTCCTTACCGTATTCATTCCCCGGTTCGACAGCCTTATTGGACACGAGGAAGTGCAACAGCAACAAATTCTGCACGTCTCCGCAAATTCCATTCTAAATTTTGCTGCTCGTTGTGGTTAGATTGTTTCAAATTAATCGTTATTTGAGGGTGAAATAATGGCTTGGATACTACATTGAATAAATAGATTACATTATAATTAACGTTTAGTTATTTTTTTTAATTAATTTTCAACATTACCATGAGTTGAATTATGATTAAAAACGCAGCATTTGTGAAAAATACTTAAAACATCATGCCTCACCGCTCATGAAGTTGTAAATGATGGGATTGACGGCACTGTTGAAGTAGCAGAGCCAATGAGCTATGAACCACAATCCTGACATAAGTTCCGGGTGCTCCTCAATACCAACCTTCAAATACCTGAGAAAAAGGAACTTTTGTTGTATTATTTTAAATTTTATAACGTTACCGAAATAAATTGACGCACACTTCCTATGTAACTATTAAATAAGCCTTACTTAAATTTATTTGAAATTTAGCAATTCACATGAGTTTGAACTTGCAATTCAACTGTTTATACGAGCGCCTGAAGTTTCTTATCTAGCTCAAAAGTGATGCTTTAATGAATTTTTCTTGCTAACTTTGGCTATCTACTGCAGATAATTAAGTTTCCTTTAACTGAGTTTGGTTCATCATTTTGTTTGACATTCTTATAAAACAACTTGACTTTGGATTGATCAGAATTTGAATTGAATATGCCCGACAACTCTGCAACGATGTTTTTTAATGAAAATTTTAATAAAAATTTGCTACCACACTTTCAAAGTTTTGTGTTAGATGTTGTTTAATTTTTTGATATATTAGGCTAGTTAAAACTATCAATTTTTTCAATGAACTTTAAAAAATGATTCAACATTAGAATGGTTGGCGAAAGAAAGAACCATAGACACCTTAAATTAATTTGATTGATGGAATGATCGTTTAACGGCGATTCAGCATGGTTATTGGCTATCTTTTCGCCACTATGGAATTAATTAAATAATTTAATAAATTAATTTAATTTATAAAGATAATTTAAGGTGTTTATGGAAAGAACATAATATGCAGATAACTTTATGAATTCAGAAAATTCTATTTATGAGTTTTTTTGTTTTGATGTATTGGTCTATGCTCAATGACGTTCAGCCTAACGATTATGTTGTTTGTTTGATTACAAACTATGCAAAGGCGAGTCTTCTTAATAAGTTCAAACATATAGGCCTCTACACGCTTAAGAAAGTACAACATTCGTCATTATATAGGCGACCAAGTGCAGAGAAAAAAATTTTTAGTGACTCTAAATTTTCAATCCAAGTTTAAAAATAAATCCTTATATAATATCTCGAAAGTTACTGTTTGGGAATGGGAGCGGGATTGAAGAAAAAGAAGAAAGACCCCGAGCCACCCCCTCCTCCACCCCCTGCTGAGGAGGGTCTCTCTCTTTTTATAATTTTTATTATATCATTTTATTGTTCGCATATATATTATCTTCTTTTTACGATACGGCTTATAAGTCTACTCCACATACTTCATAGTTCATACTTATAATTTAACATTTCATTGCATCATTTACTGTGACAAAAAATTTGTGAGATTTTCATTACCATTGCACGTTATTTTATTTTCATATTTTTTACCATATCAAAAAGTTTCGGAACGAGCACGAATAAGTTAAGATGAAATATGAAACATATGACCTCACAATTCCTTTAAGAATGCACAAATTCACGGATGACTGCAGTTAGGCAAATTACTGTACACATTAGCGTTAGTTTACGAGGAACACTATTTTAAACATTCAAACATGTTGTCTGTATAAATAGATAAACACATGCACATAAAATGTATGTCTTTACATAAAATTATACAAATTTTTGTATTTGCATATGCAAGCAAACATACATACACACGTAAACTAGTTAATAATAGGTTCAATTATTATTTATATCTAAGTATTTCTTTTAAATGTACTGAAGAGTCCGAACCAGAAGTTGAACCAGAACCAGTAGAAAAGCCGAAATCACCCCCGGTAATACTTAATTTAAAATTATTTGATTCTTTTTGCTATTTTGAAATGAAATAAATGTATTTATATAAAAAAACTTCCAATTAAAACAGTCACTGTCAGATCTCGGCTCGAACGTGGTGCCTTATTATAAGATGCAGAACTACTCTTCCAACGTCCAGAAAGCCGGTGACCTTTCACACAAGCCCATCTACAACAAAACAATCTACGACCTGCCCCTGAATGAACAAATCAAACAGCCGATGTGTGACGAAGACGTCGAGAACATCACGAAGGACTTCCCCGTCTCCATGGAGATTGGTGAGGCTCTGAGGGATCACTGGACTGAACGATGTTTGCTGGACAAGAACAAACAAGCGGAGAAAGACAATCTTGAATCAAATAAAACCGCCGATGTGCGCCATCTCTTGAATTCTTTGGCATTTACGACGACGGAGCACACGGATGAGGAACTGAAGGAGAAAAGTCAAAAAATTGTCATGGAAAAAGACGCCACTGAAAATGACATCGCTGCCTTCAAGATACAAAAAGTTAGCTACAATCGTAAATACGAAGTTAAAGGGAAAGATGCAGCGCATGGATTGGACTATCCGATCGAAATAATGAAAATCAAGAGTGCTGGCGACAACGATGAAGTTGTCAAGTCGAACGTGGAAAAGTACTTCAACGACCCCAACAGGAACGAACCAGAGTACGTGCAGTACATGTGGGCTGCTGAAGAACCACTCGTCAAGTCCCATTACGGGGAGGAGAGGAATCGTCCCAGTGGAGATTGTGCATTCCCGTCCGGACTTTCATTCAACCAGTGCCCAAAATCTCAAAATAGAGATTATTACTTGAATGATTGTTGTGGTGTTAATCAAGCGGAAAACTTCGTACTTCCTTCAAATATGTCTAACAATTTGAGTAAAATCTCTGCCAACAACTTCTACAACAACAGCAACAAGGTTTGGAACCACAACGATCAACCCTTACAGCCATCTACAACTGATATTTATGATAACCACTTCAATCAGCAGCAAGAGTTTTTCAATAACTTCGCATCAGGTAGCTCGTGGGTGAAATCATTTCAAAATACAAAAAATGAATGGAAAGCCAAAAAATTAATGGCCTTGTTTAGAGAGATGTGCGAGTTGAAAAATTATGATGATGACTCGGACGAAGAATATCAGTTTCTCTTGAAAACCACCATGAAATTGTTGGAAAGGGAATTAGCAGAAGCTACTAATTCGAGCAGAGCCAACGCTGACAATAGATTCTCAAGTTGTCCTTGCAACGATTACGACCAGGAAGCAAATGCCAATCATTCAAATCACTCCTCCCACTACTGCGACAACGACGACGCCAACCGGAGCGTGCAACTTCAAGGTCAAGGTCAAGTTCACGGTCAGCAGGGTTTGATGCGTTCGAAACTCTTAGAAAGTTCAGCCGCTAACACAAATTTAAATTGCAACGATAGCAACAACAACGTTGATGATGATGACGACGACGACGATGATTGCACAAAGCCTGATGTAACTGATGCAACTGCTGAAGATGAAGCAGTGGTTAACGGCAAAGATGTAAAAGAAAATGATGACGATGACGACGAAGACGACGATGATGAGGCACTTGCTACAGATGTTCCGCGTTTTGATATGAGGAGATTGAGTATGTACGATGGGAACGTTGGTTTGGATGACAGCGACGTGGAAGAAGAAAATGATGACGAACATAATGTTGATGAAGAACATAATGTTGATGATGAAAGGGAATATAAAAATGCCGTCGGCTTTGATGACTGTGATTGTGGCTTTGAGAACTGCTCTAAAAAATAATTTTAAATTTAGAATTTACCAATTAATTTAATGGAGATAAACTTTCAAATAATAATAATGGCTTAACCCGAATATTTTCAACAAAAATTAAAAAATTTATCGCAATTCGGATGCACGTTTCTTGCTCAGGTAGGTAGAGAGTTCAATATAATCAAAATGTGAAGCCAGGCTCAAAGATCTAATGACGCAATCTCATCCAGAATCTCTGCAATCTATCTAATGTTGATAGAACTTTTTATAATTTTTTATAATTAATTAGCACAATTTTATCTTAGAAAAATTAAAAACTTCGGTGAATATAAAGTTAAATCTTAGAGTAAAAACGTTTTGTGTTGATATGTTCGGTATTTTAAATTTAAGTTTCCTACTCAAGTTTTCAAGTTTAAAATAGCTTATTTTAAACAAACTTGTTTGATTTCATGTATGTTAATATATTTCGGTTTGTTCCTACAAATTATTTGAATAAATAAAACATTTTGTCATTTTTAAAACGCTATGGGATTCATTTCGTGCTGTCATCTGTCCGCCCATTCATTAACGTTGATAATTTATGAGGGTGCAATTAAGATGTTGACCACAATTTGCGATCGAACAGTCAGGGATGAACGTCCAACGCGTCGCTTTCAATAAATGCTACATGCAGTATCACAGCGCTGTTGTATGCTGTGTGAAGGAATTCATGAAGTGAATTTGCTGTTAAAAACGATTAAGAAAAAAATATCTTATAATTCATTAGTTAATACTTATGCTATTTTTATCAATGTATAAATATTTTAGCGAAGTTTTGTTTTTTATTCATAATTTGAAAATTCGATTGGGTTTAACTAGAAAAACAAAACGACTTCAAGATTTAAAATAATCACAGCAAAAAGCAACATGACCACACGAACATCAAGTACAAACGGATGAACAAATCTCTTAATTCAAAACAAACCCAATTAATTTTATAAAGTAAAGTTGAGTGCCTGACAACCTTAAAAAGTTAGCGCAGTGAATTGGCATGTAGCAGACGGCGAAGGCGATGACGACGACGATGAGCATTTTGGCAACATTCCTCCTCGCCATCACCTGGTTCGTCATCTGGTTGTTACTACCGCTACTGCTGCTGCCACTCAAAGCTGCATTGCGGCAAAAAATGTGTGTGTGTTGGTGTTCTTGTTTGTGTGAGATGGTTTTTGTCTTTTTGTAATTTATCTTTACACCACCATCTATCCATTCATCCTTCCATATATTAATCATTCCATGGATAGTTGGACTAACAAGGATCAGTTGGCATGCTCCCATTCTCAGATGGGATGTTGTTACTCCAGAGTGTCATGGCGATACGAACGTACGTGACGGACATGAAGCCGAGAGGTAGCAGGTACAAGCAGAGTGCCAAGATCTTTGAAGACATTCAAGAGTTTGATCAAATTATTTAGATTTATAAAAATTATCCTTTCACAGAAAATTAACGCCAACAAATTTTTAAAGCCATTTTGAAACCAGTTAGCAAATTGGTGTTTTAAAAATATTAGAAATAAAAAACTAATAAAAATATGGAAAAAATTTACTGATGAAAAATGTTAGTCAATACAATTGTAAATTATTTTCATTCAAACACTTATTACAAATTAATTATTAAAAAAAATACTGAAAAAAATTTACATAGTTTTGAGTATTTGCTCATCAATATTCATTCAAATAATAATCTATCTACAAAATATATTTTAAATATTACGTCAACTTCTTCAACTTTTTTGTCACAAACGCCTTCAACGTCTTGCGAACAAATGTACATAAGAAATCACAAAGACATATAGTAGCAACTCACCGCGTGATAGCAAATACTTTGGTCAAAGTATTCGTTAGGTGGTCGACATGAGGTCAGTAGTACGGTGTGGTTTGAGGTCGGAATGGTCTGTTGAATTACGATTAGTACAAATATTGTATGGAAACAAATTATTAATTGGCTGGATAACACCAAAAAACCGAATGCAGTTTACTAGTTGTGAATAACTAGATGAATCTTCATCGATAAGCATTACCAACTTGGAAAATGATTGCTTCATGTGACGAGACGAGAATGCTGAACAACCAGATGGCACCGATTACCATCCTGGCTCTTTTCTTCGTGCTACGAAAACGCAGCGGGTGGCAGATGGCGTAGAAGCGCTCCACGGAAATGGCCGTCAACGTCAACACCGACACTGAAACTGATATGTTCTGTGGTTGGTTGTGGATGTTGTCGTTAGTTGTGGTAGGCTGTGGTTAGTTGCTGTGGTTCGGAGTGGTCATTTGTTGTGTGAGTGGCTTGTGTTATTTGATTAATTTCTGTTTGTCGTTTTGTTGCGGTTAAATGTTATATTATATTTATTTAAATAACCTTGTTAATAGTTTAATACTAGTTGTTATAATATTCAATTATGATAAAAATAAATAAAATATGTCCGATCAATTGAATGTATTGATTTATTAATAGATAAAAGTGAAACAATATCCCCGGTTAATTCCAAATTGCTGATTCATACGTGCAATCTTCGATATTTCAGTTACTTATAAATAGACAAAACTAAAACTTATTTCAATTTCTCTCCAAAAGCATTTTTTTCCTTTTAACCATAAATTTGAATAATTAATTGGTTTGAAGAATATTTTTATTACATCAGATTAAAATTATTTTTATTTACTGGTTTGGATAAGATAGGTCAAAACGTAACAGAGTGACTCAAACTATCAGAGCAATACAGGACGTTGACGTTATTAGTATATTCTTAGCGTGCAACACGCAATGACTTTGAAATATTTCAAACTTGCAATCTCAGTCAAGTCTGCCATGCAACACACGATCCTGGCAGGACCCAATATATCAAGTGGAAATCGGAGTTGACTCAACACATGTACAGTTGTTACTCCAATTTTTGAATTATTCCTTAATTCGAATAAACTTATGCAATGCTTGTTAACTTCTTTTTTGTTTTTGCTCATTTCAACTGTAAGCTAGAAAATCGGTCATTGCTGTTAGAGTTAACTTCAATGTTTTTTCCAACTTTTTGGTACATTTCATCGAGATTTCTATTACTCGTTAAAATGCTGAATCATTATTTCAAAGAAACAGACATTTAAATTAAAATTATGCGTCAATCTAATTTTTAAACTTTCGACAATAATAGAAAATTTCGCATTCATTTTTATAGTGAATTCAATAAGCTTTTCCCAGAATTCTTATTTAAATTCCTACTCACGAGTGTTTCCGCGTATCTCACGCCCAACCACCACTTCCAGCATTAACTTGCAAATTTTGATCTTTGCTCATTTTTAAGAAAGTCATTATTTCGCAACGACATTTGTACATTTTTTCACATAAATCATTAAATATTTTTTAAATATTTAACCGTTCCAGTTGTAACTTTTTATTTTCATTCTTTTGAAATTGTTATGTTATTCAATAAATGCTAGTTCATTGTGTTCAATTTTTTATTCACAACTTATGAATATCAAATGTTCTTTTTTTCCTTGGTTTGAATTTTCAAAATGTTTAATTTTATTTCATATTTCACTAATAAATATTTTGCTATTTTTCTACTTTCCTAAAATTGTTTTTCTTAAAAACCAATGATGAAAAAATAACTTCAATTCATTTTTAATGTAATCAACGAGAAACACAAAAATCTATCCACACTACTAAAGTTATCTCACGCAACTACCAGAGTGCCAACTACCAGTGTTGGTTTTCTTCAAAGAAAACCAACATTTTGCGATAGTCAAACATTCACAAAGCACAATACACTATGGGATAGACTACAATACAACACAAGTGCACTAGGAAAACGTCAATTAAAGAAATAAGAATACAGAGATACCCACACAAAAGAAGAACAAACAGCAGAAGAGAACCCAGCAGACGATATTATGTTCCGAGGTGGGGTTATTTAATATTCACATGGTATCCCACTCGCAATGATCCTGCAGTCTCTCAGCTCTTGACTTAATCCAATTTGCCAATTTCGATATCATTCCTCCATTTTTCCATTTCTGCTCGCAGTAAAACTTTTTTTAGTTCTATTTTCAAATTTTTATAAGTAATATTTTTTAAGTTATGTTTAAAAAGGTATCTTGCTTTTTTATAGATGCTTTCCGCTATCTTAATTCATTATGCATTGAATTTTTCCTAATTAGTAGTGTCCAAAGAAAGCAAACTAGTTGTAATAAAATTACATGGTATAACATATTATAAAGTGATTGAGTAATTTTATTACATAAAAAAATTGTAATTATAACACAATTATATAATATAAGAAATAAATAAAAATCATTTTAATAATTTTCTGCCGTTGGCGTTGCGTTGGAAGCCTCAGAAACCTCCATCTAAGCTATTGAGCGTGAATCTAAACATTCAAGCAATTTTTTTCAGAAGTCTTAAACGTATAATAATTTTTCTCCGGTATAAATATTTAAAAATGTTTCAACTGATTGAAAATAACAACAATGTTTAATAATAACAACCAACAATAAATGCACACATAATAATATTGTATGCCTCACAGCTGTTTAAATATATTTTTTCCTAATCATGTTCTGCCAAGTGAATGAGTGTTAGGTTTAAAATGGTCTAAGATTAGGTTTGAGACAGTCTACAATCAGTCTAGCCAAACGTTCTTATAAGAAGACAGTTGACGTAATTCAAAGTTTGCACTCTGTTGTTTTTGTTTCGTTATCATGGAATCAGAATTGTTAATTTTATTTGATCATTTCCATGCGTTTGTTTTGTTTTTTAGCAAACTACGTTTGAAAAACTATTCATTCATACAGTCAAATTAAAAAAATGAAGACACACAGACATGCCTTGAAATATGTGTGCTCGCACTGAGCAGTGCGACGTATTTATAAAAATGGTAATTTGCAAAGTACTTGGGATTGAAAAAGATGTTTGCACGTAACTGTTGAATTATTTAGTGCATCATCGAACGTATGGTGCTGAGTAATTGAATTTGAAGTTCAAATAGATACGTGACGAATGGGGAGGAGTTCCATTCAGTTCGTGAGATCAATCAGACATTCTGTGAAACTATCATTCAAACATTCAATTAACCAAACCATCGATCAAACCATCTATCATTTGAATTCCATCTCCAATGTTAAATCCCACTCAGTCAGAGTTTTTTTCTCTATATAGTTCACGGTGAGAATTTATTTAAACCGATAACACTCTGAAAATGTTTATACACTGCCTGACTGATGCGAGTTCTTGAAAATTGATTCAGTGAATCTTTTTGTTAAAAAAATTTCCATTCATGGTCTGTTTTGTATCTTTTAACGCAATAATAACCATCACTATATAAATGAAACGATTTAATCTTCATGTCAGTTGTACGGTTAAACAGTAGTAGGTGAATAAAAACAAGATTTAAAAAGATATTAATGTTAAATTGATTACTGATTGAAAATCTAACCTGCAGGAACATGAGACACTTGCACATGATGAGTCCAGCGAACCAGGTTTCAGTGACATCCACAGTGACAGTAGCAGGTAGAACGAGAATGATGACCATCAGATCAGCTGTCGACAGGTTGAAGATGAAGATGTTCGTCACCGTACGCATCTGCTTATTGCGCCACACAGCGAAACAAACTAAAAAGTTGCCGACTACACCGACGATGAAGACGATGAGGTACATGGCGATCAGTAACCACTCGTAATCACTCGGAAAGATGTACTCGAGGAAAAGTTTGTTCAGGTGCTCCATTGTCAGACTGTTGCTGATGCTACTGTTTTCGTTAGTGTAGTTGTCCAGATCGGTGACTGTCATCAGGTTTGCGCAGTTGGACTCGTAACCAAAAGACAGAGAAGATGTCGAAATATTGTCAATTAGTGATGACGACAATGACGATGATGATGTTGATGATGATGACGAGAGAGGCGCAATTTGTGTTGTGTTTGCATGGGATGGGTAGACGTCTGATGAATTGAGATGGCCACGATGAAGATGATGAGGACTATGATGATGATGATTGCTTAGGTTAATCATATTTTTCGTAGTTTCCATGATTTTGTTGGTTTCTCCGTGACTGAAATACTTTCTCTATAAATCTTATTAAGTGCAAATTAATTCAATTTTGTGGCATCTGAGTTGAGGAGAGAAGTGAGAAATTATTCCAAATGAACAAGTGATGAAAACAGTTTTTATTGTACACCACAAACGACTTTTTAAATTTAAAAATGTCTATTTGTTTCAAGTTCAATTTATTTTCTAAAAAAATTTTATATTTATCAAATTTTTTAATCAAAATTTTTTCCCATAAAAGGATCACGCAACGTCAATATTTTCTATCATGTAACATCAACATAGCCAAATGAAATCTTGTTTGCGTTAAGGATTTGAAAATGACTTGAAGCAGAATTTTTTCATCTTATTTTTTATTTTAAAGGTCTATTGATTTATTTCGCTATTTAAAAATTTGTTTTTATTTATCTCTTGTTAACGTTGGCGTTTTTTGATGTAATTTTTTTGTTGATGTTATTGAAGGGAACTTGTCTGTTGAAGTTATGGTAATTTGAGATTGAATTTTTGGAGAAGCGTAATATTTTGTTATTTCTGAAAACATTGTTGAGTAGATGTTAATTTATGAACATGGTATGACAATGGAATGACATTAACTATGTAATCTATTATTTGTTGTTGTTGATGCTGTTGTTGATGCTGTTGTTGTTGTTAGTATTCTATTAGTTGTTGTTGTTGCTTAATTTTGTTGTTGTTTTTATTGCTTATGTTTGAAATGTAGACTGACAATGTTCTTTTAATGATGAACTTTATAATCATCCAGACAAAAGACCAATGTTGTTCAGTCAATAGTTTGATATCTGTTAGGAAGCAATTTTGATGGCGTTTATAGTTACAATAAAAATGATGAAATGGAACTAAGGATAATAAAATAATAGGAATAATAATAGTAAGAAGAAAAAATGAATCTTTCGTAAATAATCAAACTAATAAAAAAGTATATAGAGAGAAAAAGAAAAGAGAGAAAGAGAGAGAAAGAGAGAGAGAGAGAGAGAGAGAGAACGAGTATAAAATAGAGAAACAGAGAGCAAACAATAAAAATAGAAAATGGAAAAACAAAATTGAAAAGAAATGAAAAGAGAGACACTGAAAAAGATGGAAAAGAGAGAAAAAGAGAGAGAGAGATAAAGAAAGAAAAAAAAGGAGAGAGAGGGAGAGATGAATTGTGGAAACCGTAGGAGAGATTTGAAAGATAAATATGTAAATTTCACTTTCACCACGCGCGCCTCTGATTTTTTATTGTCAATCACACTGACGTCACACATAGATCCACCTCCGAATTGATTTCGCCTTTATGACCATTAATTAATAATTTTTTTAATTTTTTATATATTTTATTTTTTAACGTTCTGAAATTATTTTTAGACTGAAATTTTACGAAAATCTCATGTGAAACGTTTTTAAAAAAAAATCGATTTTCCTCTCACAGGATAATATTTCTGGTTTTGACAAATTTTAAAAAATTTTCGACATAAGAGAGAAACAGAAACTCAAAGAATGATCTGTTCATCAGTTGAGCTTCACAAGGCGTGACACATTTTCAGTCAGTAGATGCAAGTCTGAAGTGTTCGCTTGCCTCTCTTTGAGGAATTTTATCAAAAGATTACGTTACATTCAACTATCAAAAAATTTTAATAAAAAAAGTCAACTCTCATTTACTTTTAAGTTTTCAACCAAAAAACAACAATATACTATACATATATTGAAATAACACAAAGATCACGCAAACAAAACAAGTTCATAAAATGTTAATCAATATCAAGCATGAATATTTGAAAAAACACAAATCACAGGTACATACGTCTGTTTAAAAAATAAATCAAGCATCTAGACTGAAGGTATATCATAAAATAAAACGTGTGTCTAGCCGGAAAATAAATTACCATAATAGTATTTAGTTTTATAAATTGACAAAAAAATGAATGATATTCACTGTGATAGCAAACAACAAACGAACAATACCTTAACCTAAGCTCTTTCTTCCAACTCTTAAATTAAATTGATGAAATTAAAAAAAGATAAAAAAAACGCAAACCGCAAATTTAAACGTTCATTGTGCCAGAACAAACAAGTCTTAAATGGTGAAACATTTGTAGAGTATGACAATGGCAGCAGAGACACTTTCACAAATTTGTTCTATTGATGTTCACCAAACAACGAGTTTCATGAACAAACAACACCCTTCAAATCCATGCAGAGAATGTTTGACTATTAATACCCCTACCTACCTGCCTACGTTGTACATGTGTGTGTGTATTCGTGTGTGTGTTGTAAGATGTACCTGTGTGTTCACGTGTGTACGTTTTTATTGAAAAATGTTTTTAATTATTTTATCTATAACAAAAGTTATTTCTTAAAGCCTGCTTGACTATTTCTCTGTGAGTAATAATTGAAGCAAGTGATTTCGGTAAGATGACGATGGAAAACGCACACTCGAAAATCATTCTTCAGCGATGGTTTTGTGTTCTATTATTTAACAAAAGTTAACTAAATTTAATATTATTATTGCTAAGATTATAAAAAATTAAAATAAGGAGTGAAAATACGTTTGTAGTGCTGAAGATACCGGTTAATCGGACCAGAACGTAACTCGCTCATCAACTGACTCTACATTTTTCAAGTTATGATTCGACATTTTAAGATAAAAATTCAATGCAACTGCATTCAGGGTGCGAGTAAGCTTCAAACGTATAACTTTAGAGATGTTTCATGAAACCTCTTATTAAATTCTTTTTTAAATAATTCTACGCGATAGCCATGGACACCTATATAATATACCGATACCGATAATATATTTTACCATATAGAAGTCTATGGCAATAATAGCGCACACTAAGAGCGTCACAGGCATTTCTGTACTACAAAGAGATCACTATCTCTTTGTAGTACAGGCGCTTTTTAAATAATTACAATAACGATAGCAATCAATTGACGAATTTAAAGTAAATTTTTCTCTCTTAGGAGAACAACAAGAAAATTTCTTCTATAAATTTATCTGAAAAACTTGAATAAATAAATAAAAATATAATATATCTCCCTGAAGTTTTATGAGAAGTAAATAACTACTACCTTTCATAAAAAAATAATTTTAATACGTTTGATTATTGATGCTACATTCTTTTATTGAATGAATAATTTACGATCGCCATTTCATGTTGTTTATTGGCTGCTGAGAAATGACGTCAAATTCAAAGGAGCAGTACCAGCCCAATGAAAAATGACGGTTATTAATAAATAGTATTTTCTTAAATGCGTGTTTGTATCCGCGTGTTTTTAAAAAATGTGCGTGCGTGTGCGTGTGCGTGTGGATGACTGTGTCTTTGTGCTGTTGTTGAAAAAATCAAATGAAATAATTTTTTTTTCAAATTTTTGATGTCGCCATAGTCTCGAATCGAGATAATAAAATAAAGTTAGAAATTGTAAAGACATTTTTGAGAGAATGAAATATGAAGAAATTCTATTTTCTATTTATATCAGTGGAAATATTCAAATGTTACTTAATAACGAAATAATGCTAAATAATAAAAGTGCTATCAAATTTTGATTAGGAAATTCGACACTTTACAAAAGTTTCCTTGCGTGAACGTGTACATGCGTTTGTTTGCGTGTCTGTGTGTGTATGCGTGTGTTTGTGTTCCTGTGTGCGTGTGGACAAGTTTAGTTTTGTAGTTTAGGGTGTGTGTGTGTGTGTGTGTGTGTGTGTGTGGTGTGTGTGTTTGTGGACAAGTTTAATAGTTTAGGTGTTTTTTAGATGTGTGTGCGTGCACGCGTACCTGTGTGTATGTCTGTTTGTTTGTGTGTGTGTGTGTGTGTGTGTGTGTGTGTGTGGAGTGTGTGTGGTGTGTGTGAGCAAGTTTAGTTAAAGTAGGTGCTATTCAAGATGTTTCTGTTCAATTTTTAATGATGAAAGCCCATGAAAGGTGCAAATCAGAGGGAACAAAGAATGACGAATACGAAACCGACAGTTATCATTTTATAGTGCTTCATATTTCGGTTTTTGTTTACATGTAAGATTAAAGTAATGCTTAATTATTCAGCTAAATTTTTAAATAATAATAAAAATTTTAAATCACTTAACTCTTGTTTTTTGACAAAACGTCAGAATACTAAATAAATAAGAAGGTGTTTGACATTTTGCCATCCAATTCACAATCCACAAACAATGAATAAATTTCATAAACAAGTCCTATTACTAAACTGACCAGTGACGAAACACACACGACTGACCATCAACTGGCCATTGAGGGACACATCATTCAACTACCCATTATATTTCTAGGGGATGTTACGTTATTTTACAAAGGAGATGAATTGTACGTATATGGTCTTATGCACTTTAAATAAACTAATATGAAAGCTTCCGATACTTTGTATTTTTTCAAAACTTATTCTTAGAAACCAAATTCATTTTTTTATTTTTTAATTGATATTTCAATAACTACGATAAACGAGTTTTATTAATATCACAATTTTATTTTAGCAGTTAGAACTTAAAAACTCAACTGCCTCAAGTCATAAATCACTTTTTTTTATAGAACTTTTCTTGTTTTAATAACTCTTACCAAGTTCGAAAGTTGGGAGGATGTTTAGTAAATTTTTCTGCCACAACTTTTGATTTTTGTACTTAACAATCGGTGATTGGTGGTCTGGAGTAGTTTGCTCTTGGAAAATTAATCTGTGTTATT